GTTTTGAGCTCGCTACATCCCATACAGGACGTTACCTTCTGTGCTGTGGGATCAGCACGTCCCCTTCTCACGTGTGTCCGGGCACCCATCTACAGCAGGAGGGAAAATCTGCACCACTGGGAACCTCCACCTACCACAAAGGAAAAAGCCTGGGAGGGAGCAGAAATTTCAGCTCAGTTACAACAGCAAAGAATATGAGTTTCTTTGAGAGGAAATAAGTGGAATCATCTAAAGCTTTGCACGGGCATCTGGACTCTTGGAGATTGTTCTTATGGATGTAATCCCAAATAAAGAGGAATGTCTGAATGTTAATCCTGAATAATAATAGGAATAGGAATGTTAATCCTGAAAAACTTACTTTTTCTTCATTAAACAAACACTCTCCTGCCACCTCCCCCTTTAAACACGTCACCCCTCCTCCTCCTTCCGCTCTGGAGGGTTGGTGTGGATAGAACGGGCTCTCTTTAAAGCAAGGGAAAGAGGACACGGCTCAGAAGTGCTGAGAGACCAGTTACCCTCACACATCTTCTGCTTTAGCTGCCTCCCGTGAAGATGTAAAGAGCAGGAGTAGAAAAAAACCCCATCCCTCACACACCCAGGTAGAGCCAGGAGGAAGAGCTGAGGGTCTGGGTACGGTACCAGACCCCGGGGAACGGAAGGGAGCGAGGAACCCGGGTGCAAATGGCACGGCCACGTTCCCTTGGAGTGTGAGATTTTGCATTCGTTAAGGTTTGAGGAACCCACAACAATTTGGCCAAGAAGGCCCTGGGGGTCATCGGGAAGAGTGTGAGCAGCAGGTGGAGGGAGGTCATCCTGCCCCTCTGCTCTGCCCTGGGGAGGCCCCAGCTGGAGCACTGGGACCAGTTCTGGGCTCCCCAGTTCCAGAAGGACAGGGAACTGCTGGAGAGGGGACAGCAGAGGCTACAAAGATGATGAGGGGCCTGGAGCATCTCTCTTATGAGGAGAGGCTGAGGGACTTGGGGCTTTTTAGTCTGGAGAAGAGAAGGCTGAGGGGGGATCTGATCAACGCCTATAAATACTTCAAGGGTGGGTGTCAGGAGGATGGGGCTGGTCTTCTTTCAGTGGTGGTCTTTCAGTTCAGGACAGGACAAGAGGAAATGGGCACAAACTTGAAGATAAGAAGTTCCACCTAAACATGAGGAGGAACTTCTTTCCTGTGAGGGTGGCAGAGCCCTGGCAGAGGCTGCCCAGGGAGGTGGTGGAGTCTCCTTCTCTGGAGACATTCAAACCCACCTGGACACATTCCTGTGGGACCTGCTCTAGGTGGACCTGCTCTGGCAGGGGGTTGGGGGAGATGATCTCCAGAGGTCCCTTCAACCCCATGGGATTCTGTGATTCTGTAATTTACTGTTGTTCAGACAATTCTTCTCTCACCTGATGACCCCTCCCCAACCTGAAAAGGGGAATCAGGGAAAACAAGGAAACCCAAGGGTTGAAATATAAACAGATTTAATAGGATGAGACTAAATATTTAACACTAATAATGCTAAAGAACAAGTATTGATCCCAACACCAGCATAAAATAGAGAAGAATTATACTCAGCCCATTCCATCCCAGGGAGCTGTGCACTCCCCGAAGGGTTGGCCAATGTGGGACCCTGCGAGTGCCGCGGCTTCGGGAGGAGGGAAGGGCTCAGGGCTCAAACAGCAGGGCAAGGAGTTCTTGGGATGGCAGCCACCAAGGGACAGAGAGAGAATTCCTCAGCAAACTCTCTAATTTATACTGAACGTGACATTCCTGGTATGAAACAATCCTGGTGGCAGCTTGGGTCAAGTGCTTGGGTCTCGATCCTCCTTATCCCTGCACCCGGGGAGCTCAAAAACACCAAGACCTTGAAACCCTCACCCCAGAGCGGGTGATAAAGAGAATATTTTCACAAATTCAGCCACTAGAGCCTTCTAAAAGTGCAGTTTTCCCAAGCATCACAAGAGAAATTATTCCTGTGTCACTCAAACCAGGGCAGCATTTGAGGTCCCAGAGCCTCTCGCCATCGGCAGCATCTGCCGGGCTGGGAATTCTGTTCCTTCATCAGGAAGAGCTGCTAAAATACAGCTGTCACAGAGGGAACATTCGACGGCAAACAGGAGGGAAGAAAGACAAGAATATACTTCATAATGATCTTAAAAGAACAATTAGAAGTCAATATGCAGGAGCCGAGACAAGGTTAGACAGGGATGAGTAAGTACTAGGTCAGGAAATTTAAGGACAGAAGATGAGAATTAATATCCAACAACAGAAATAGGCCTGGGGGGGAAAAAAAAAAGGCTCAGATGAACAGCTTGTCTGATTTGAAGGATGAAGTCTCAGACCAGGGAGACGGCTGCTCCCTCGGGGACACACCACGTACGACCGACGGAGGGACCCGGCCGCTGTGGGCGGCTCCAGCAGCACCACTGCATTTAAAGGCTTTTAAAAAAACACGTGGATGAAGCCTGGAGCTGTGCTACTGGGGGCCTTTCACAGGGACGGGCACAACTACTCAAAAAGAAACTTTTAACTAAGAGGACGACCTGCTGCCCCTTCCCTCTGCTCCCCCGATTCCCACAGCCAGCGCCCACAACATCCGTTTTCAGCACAAAAGCTGCAAAATACGTGTAATTTGGTTTTTTTAAACTTTCACTCGCGCTCACATTCAACGTATTCTTCTTTCACAGAAAAGAGCAGTAGGACAGTCTCTCGAGAGCTACAAAGAAGCAGAATTACCTTGACCAGCAGCTGAGAAACCAGCCCCGATGGTTCCTTCAGCTCCTCGGATTTTCGGTCCCCCCAGTAACCAAAATGGGTTTTACTGATGAGAATATGTTTCTGATTTGGATGGTTCATCTCAGCCACCCTCCCTTTACAGGGGAAGGAGAACAAGAGCATACATTTACCCGTGAATTCTAACCTCAGAAGGATTTTTCATGTAATATTATCACCAGAAACCCCCCTGCAGCTGCGTGAGGCCGGCGCCTCGCTCCGTGGGGTCTCACACGTCCACGTTCCCACAGCCTGGGATGGCATTCCCTGACTTTCCCCTTCCCGATGGGGCTCGGTTTAAAGGCAAGGAAAACTCCTCCCTTTTCTCTTGCTCAACAGCCAGTTGGAGCTCAGCCCTGAACCCAGTTCACTTTCCCTGGGCAGAACCTTCAGGAGCAGCTCGGAGGCCAGACCCGGGCTGCACCGATATCCAGGCAAATCCCTTCTTTTTCCTGATCACACACAATTTCACCCAGTGAGAATTCAGGAAAAATAACACTCAGGAATTCAGGAAAATTCAGGAAAAATTACATTCCCTTTAACTCCGTTAGTTTTTCAAAACGGAGAGGGGGAAAAAAATAATAATTGAGCCAGCTTAATGGAACAGCTCCGATGCCAGATAAAATCAGGAGTTTTAAATACAAGGGGATCTCTCTTTACATTACCTTTGCAGAGTGAAAACAGCATTTTGAGGGGTTTCATCTTATCTACCGACATCAACCAAACGGTCCAACCCCCCCCGTCTCCCCCAGCCCTTGGCATCAGGCTGCTCCTGCCAGATAAAACGAGCAAAACCCGACCGAGCGTGATACAGCAGAAGAAACCGTGACTTTTTGTCAACTCAGGTGGTACCTACCCAAAATTACACCGGCTACAGAAAAAGATGCAAAACTTTTGCTGGATGAGATCCTGCCCCTTAACGCAGCTCCCTAAGGACCATCAGAATATGCTTCTACATTATCTCCAAAGGGGATTATTAAACTATATGAAGGTAACTATCTCTCCACAGAGCTTAGTGCTGTTGTTTTAATAGAAAATAATCAAAATAGTTTACCAGTGAGAACAGCAGCACAAACCTGAGGCTATTTCACACGGCAGCTCCCTGCCACACGCATTTATGATATTTGAGGGCAACAGGAAGGGGCTGTTATTATGAGGGGAACTACCAGTTTCTAACACATCCCCTCCCTGGTCCTTCTCCAGGGAGACGAGCTCCATCTCAGAGGGAACAAGGGGCAATGCCACTGTTAACACGTACTAACTGCTGTGTAGTAATAAGCAGCAAGTTTTGCCCCAATTCCTTTCCTTAAAGAAGTTCTTTACTCATCCTCTGCTTAAGATATACCTCAAGTACCAACCGCTCTCTCCATCACTCAGTGATGGCAGATCCATCAGTCCATGAGGACCCATCAGTCAGTCCATGGCAGTTGGGCTGTGACAAGACAAACTACTCCAGTTATCACCGCGACAGGAGAAAGACATCAGGCTCATTGAAAAGGAAAATTTTGTTTACTTACCCGTCTTGATAAGCAGATAAATTTATTTTAAGCGTCTTTGGATGCGATAGGAGTCCTAGAGCCCCTTTTTGGTACTTTGAACAATCAACTCCTCTATAGAAATGAAAACATTAATACATTTTTAAAGGACTGAAGGGAAGAGAGGAGCTGAAGAGGGGAAGTGGAGTGAGCGGGGCAAACAAAGGAGCTGGCACACAACTGGCAGCGATTTCACCTTGATATTCAAAGCATTGGAATATCAGTATCGACATCTCAATGGTCCAAGTTCTGGTGTTACCTAAACTTCCAGTATATTTAGATTCAACTAAAAGGAAGAAAAGTCATCGCTAGATATTAAACAAATTTTAAAATAGCAATAGCAGCAGAACGAGATTGCCACGGTGAACAGAACCCCTCCAACTTGGGGTTCCCCCAAGTTGGAGGGGTTCTGTTCACCGTGGCAATCTCGTTCTGCTGGAGTTGACTCAAAGGACCATATCGGCAATTCCCCCGTTGGACGGGACACCCTGGCAGCCCTAAGAGGAGGACACAGGGCACTTTGCTGCAAGAACAAACCAGTTTTCCACAAGCTTCACTCCGTATCCCCCTCAGTGGGTCCCAAACACCCAGACCCAACTCTCCCAACAGAGCCCACGGCACGAACGCAGCAGCGACTCCGCCGAAATAACTGGAAGGGGCAGAGCACAAAACCGCAGGCGGGGGCTCGAGGCAGACTAAAAGAATCTCTGTTTTGTGAGAAACATTTAATTCAACACAATGAATTACAGGAGGACAGATTTACAGAATAATAACCGTAACAGACTGTTCAAAAAGGAAAAATAGTTGTCACTGGCTGCGGTACCAGGTAAGGTTCCCCAAAGCGAGACCCGGTAGAGCAGCGGCAAAGTACAAGCCAGTCTTCTCACAGTACTCCACATGAGCAGTATCAAAGAGTTTCCTACTTTCAAATCTTTAAGAAAAAGAGTTAATACAGTATCGAACGCTTTGGCATGGGATATTCTTCAAGGAGCTTAAACCTACTCGCTCTCTAAGCTGAACTACTCCCCCAGGCTGGTTCTGCCCCCGGTCCCCGTGTCGCTGCTCATCCTCCTCACCTGATAAAGGCTCTGGGAGCTACTTTCTTCCCCAAGTGTTGGGATACCAACAACCTGTACAATTGGTCAGTGGCAGGATATTTAATCCACCACTTTATACTCTCAGCTGAGATGTCCACGCATGAACTACGCAAGGGATACCCTAAAACTAAAATAACTTTTGCAACTTAGTCAACACGTTCTCCAAACTATAAGCTCTCGTCTCCTTCCCCTCTCCCCATCCCCCTCCTCAGATAAATCCATTTTTTAGCCCCAAGTTACCCCAATATGCTCACTGATGTACTAGAAGAGACTGAGGAATCAACCAAGGTACCCATGGTGAAGCCAAATACTTATAAACACATTAAGGCAAGTTTCACATCATTTCGGTTTTGGACACAAAATGCTGGTCACTTCACTGCACATGCAAATAAGAAAGATTTAATACTCAATAAAAAGTTTTAAATTCGTTTGTTTTTTTTTTTTTTTTTAGATATCAATTATAGAAAAATCAACCTTTTTCCTTTCTTGTTTTAAAAGAGGTCCGAACATTACTGCACAGGAAAGCAGATGTGTAGACACACCTATGGAATGGATCCCCTTCCCTCCACACACACGGAGACAGAGGTCGGGGTTCTTGGCACCAGAAGAGAAAGGAGGAAGTTTTTTTTCCTCATTGTCAGTCAGAAATGAGTCATCCTTCCATCCCCAGTTGAGAAGGTCCTTCTGATTGGACTTAAACCAAAGGGAAATATACCACAGGGCGGGTATATTTATCTTCCAAACCCTACTCGGCTACGCTCGGACAGACACACAACTCCGTATCAAAAACGTGCACGGCTGGAACTAGCTAAAAAAAAACACCTGATTGCCATTGATGTAAGACCAATTCCTCGAGTGTAACTTCCCCCAACTAATCAAAACCTTGGGTGGAAGAGGCACCGGCAGGTCGTCTCCGAGACTACGCTTCCAAGACCAATGTGGTCTTGCGAGGAAAAGGGAACTCTGTGACCCGAGGTGAGAGATGGAATGACAATCCAGGACGTGAAACGACCTCCCTACAGTCGGTACAAAGAGGAGCCTACAGCAGAGTAGCCAAGGAGTGAAACAGCATCTCTCCGACTTGCCTCAGAGAGAAAATTGTTTCCGTGGGTCATTGTTAAAGGTACTTTGATAAAAAAGCTTAAAAACATATCACCTATCACTGACCCACACAAAAAAAAAGAGACAGGAAATTTGGTTCCTAGTATTTTCCCTCCCACTATTTTATATTCCTTTATTCCCTCCCGCTTTTGCATTCCCCGATTACCCTACCCCGTTAAAAAAAAGGAGGGGGGAGTAGAGTTTAGTCAAGTTCCATCTTCAAGACTACCCAGCAATGAATGAACCATCAGCTTCTCAACGTTTCCTGAAGTGTGTACATCAAAACTCATAGGTATAAGTCGGATCGGTGGTGCAATTGGCTTCGCAGACACTCTTGGCTTTGAAAATTGTTGTGCTGACCCTGCTGATAGGGTTTATACTGGGAATTCTTAGATGGAACTCCCTGGAAGAAAGAGGAAAAAAAGACCTTGTAAGTCAGTAAGAACTTTTTTTTTGGATCTTTATACCAAGTGAGCCTTTAAAAGAACAAAGCCAGAACTGATCCATTTCATTATCTCCTGGTTTTCACCTTCAGAACGTTTGCTCTGCTTCTTTGGTGTTGCCAGCCTTGCAGCAGACAGGAATGTGAGATATTCACTGTCCAAATAAAGGTACCGTTAGTGAGGTGGGAAAACAGGAATATAGAAAGAGCCCAGAGAGAAGATGGGATTTCCCAAAGGCCACACAGATTTCATGTTATAATCAACCTTCCAGCTTGAAGCTTTGCTGAACATAAATCTCTATTCCTTGTACCCAAAATACAGCTGCTGCTCCCTCCAAAGGGGCTTTTCTTCTGCTATTCATCCTAAAAAGTCTTTTTTTCCCCCCTTCACATTCCCGATTCTTGCCTCCCAGGCTCTGGAGTCTACATAATGAAGCACCCAGGGTATTGGCTACCCCAGCTCAGTGACAGAACACTAATTGCTTTTCTTAGGCTAAACGTAGAATGATCAAAAATTAAAATCGGCGAGTTCTGTTTTCATAGAATCATAGGATTGTCTGGGTTGGAAGGGACCTTTAAGATCATCGAGTCCAACCATCAACCTAACTCTGATAAAACCCATCACTAACCCATGTCTCTAAGCACTAGGTCAACCCAGCTTTTAAATCCCTCCAGGGATGGTGCCTCAACCCCTGCCCTGGGCAGCCCATTCCAAGGCTTAATAACCCTCTTGGTGTAAAATTTTTTCCTCATATCCATCCTATGGGAAGCCCATTCCAAGGCTTCACAACCCTCTTGGTGTAAATTTTTTTCCTCATATCCACCCTACTTGGGAGCAGAGACCGACCCCCCCCTACACCCTCCTTTCAGGGAGTTGGAGAGAGCGAGAAGGTCTCCCCTCAGGGTCCTTTTCTCCAGGCACCCCCAGCTCCCTCAGCCTCTCCTCATCAGACTTGTGCTCCAGACCCCTCACCAGCTCCGTTGCCCTTCTCTGGCTTCACCTTGCCCTTCATCTCGCTGTGTGAGCCTTCTCTGGCTTCACCTTGCCCTTCATCTCACTGTGTGAGCCCCACTCAGGGTACAAGGTGCTACTGGCTGGGGTGACATCAAAGGGACACAGCGAGGAACAGCCCAGCTCCACCACCCGCTGTGGTGTCTCCACCCAGCCCAACACACAGCGTTCACTGGTGTCTGGTGACCTGGCCCTTAAATATCTACTTTTTTCTGTGTTGCTTCACGGTAACGATTCATTATTCAGAGCTATTTTGGGTTTACAAGTCAGTAAAAAATATTTCCAGTTGCACCTTTAAGAAGTTCCACTGCACGAGGGAAAGTCAGACACATGCCTGAAAAGCAGCAGCGAGCCCTCGGTGGTACCTTTAAGGGCTGCACGATGTAAAGACACATTTCTGTAAATCCTGTAGTTGCTGTTGTTAAACGACCTTCAACTTTTCAGATGTTTCGGAATTTTTAATATATATATGTTCTTCTCTTACTTTCAGTTTATCAATTCCCACCACATATAAAGCTTTTTAGCTGTTTCCATCTTTTGATGATTGGGTTGCCTTTTTCTAAATTTCTTCATATATTATTTTTTAAAACATTAAAATTTTAAAAAAAACCATAAACGTGCCCTCTAATGTACCCTGCAAGAAAATGGGTACTAAAATGCAAAAGTGAGAGAAAAAGGCAGGTGGGGGGAGAAATTGAGTCCATCAAACAGCTCCTGTCCTTTCTGCCCACAGTGGTAGGAAGTAATAAATAAATACATAGGGGGGAAAAGTTGACATCACAAGACACATTTTTAAGAACTGATCCACTTCCAAGACTGAATCCTTGAAGCACTTACACACACGTTCTGGCAACACAATTAGCCCATCTGATATGAGGTGCAGAGCACTCTGTGACACTCACCAGACACCCCATCTATCAAAATATTCGATTATCTCCTGAAAGCACTGCTCCCACACCTTCACATGTGCATGCTAAAAAGCAAAAATTACTCAATATATACTAAGATTCCTCCTGAAAACATTTGTGCCTTCAATGAAGTAGAGTTTAAGGTGAGAAAGGACGCTGTCCCGTTACCTGGACTATACATTCTCCATCTCCTGGTCATGGTCCTGCTCCTCCTCCTCTTCTTCCTCTTCTCCTTCTTCCTCCCCTCCTTCTTTCTCTGAAGGAGCTTCCCCATCTCTGGCTATTTCCTCCACGTGGGCGAGCATGTCGGCCATCAGGGCCTCCTCCAGCCTCTTCCGCACCTGCTGCACCAGCTCCTCTTGCTTCCTGCCCCAAATTAACGAAGAATGACATTAATCCCTAAATCTGCCTCTCCCAAGGGAAGGGAACCTTAAATCCCTCCTCCAGGAGGTCGGGCAGACAAACACAGCTTTGAAAAGACCTCTAAAAGAGCTGCCTCACAAAAAACTTGCCCGGAATTATAGTATAAGTGAAGCTGAAGGAAACACTTTAAAAAGTTGTCCGATATTTTCTATTAAAAGTCCCCAGCATTGATTGTACCATTTTTAATTTGGGCTGAAATTTGCCTCATCTAGGAGCTGACTCAAGACTTACTTATTTTATTTGTAGTTCCTAGTACTAATATTAATTTAAACAAGAAAAAGTCAGCCTGCCCTGCTCAGCTTTCCAAAAATGAGACTGGAGAAAATTAAGCCTCTGACCACTTCAATCTTTCTGCTCATTCTCCTTTTGAGTCACAACCTTAAATTTTACAGCTCCTTTTCTGGCAAAGTCATAGTAAAGTAAAGAAGTGATCAACAATCTGTGGCTCACGGGACCCCTATTCCCTCTCAGGCACCAGAAATCATAATATTATGAACAACAGCTTCGTGTAACAATTTTTTTCAACTCTACTGATTAAAGCAGCACTTCAGCAAGTCATAGTGCTCTGTGAGATATGGAGAGGTGGGGGGTTCAGCCTGGAGAAGAGAAGGCTCCGGGGAGACCTTGGAGCCCCTTCCAGTCCCTAAAGAAGGGGGGCTCCAGGAAAGCTGGGGAGGGACTCTGGATGAGGGAGGGGAGCAATGGGACGAGGGGGAAGAGTTTTAAGCTGAAAAAGGAGAGATTGAGGTTAGATATTGGGAAGAACTTGTTTATTTTGAGGGTGGTGAGAGCCTGGCCCAGGTTGGCCCGAGAAGCTGTGGCTGCCCCATCCCTGGAGGGGTTCAAGGGCAGGTTGGAGGGGGCTTGGAGCAACGTGGTGTGGTGGGAGGTGTCCCTGCCCAGGGCAGGGGGGGGACACTGGGTGGGTTCTGAGGTCCTTTCCAACTCAAACCAATCTGTGATTCTATATTTAAAGTTTCCATTGAAAAATTCAAATTAAAAAAGCACCGGGGCGTCACTGTTTTACCACAAGATGCCTCGTTCCAAGACAGTATGCGATATTTGCAATTAATACCTAATATCTTCATCTGTCACCATAAAGGCTTTGCAGAGGGGCTGGGAGGTGTTCAGCCAAACCCCGGGATTCTTCTCCACGGCGGCAGAGAGCTGCCCGGTGATGGGCATGGTGCTGGTGTGCAGGGCACTGGCGATGGCCGAGAGGAGGGTCTCATCAGTGCAACCCGGTCCAACCCCTGCCAGAGGGAGGAGAAGCCACAATCAGCATCGCACAAGGCAAAAGACAGCGGATCAGGACAACAGGCATCATTTAAATTTTAATCATAGAATCATCTAGGTTGGAAGAGACCCTTGGGATCATCGAGTCCAACCATCTCCCCTACTCTACAAAGTCCTCCCCTACACCATGTCCCTCAGCACTGCATCTAAACACAGCCAGGGACGGTGACTCCACCCCCTCCCTGGGCAGCCTGTTCCAATGCCCGACCACTCTTTCAGTGAAAAAATTCCTTCCTAATGTTCAATCTAAACCTCCCCTGTTGGAGCTTGAAGCCGTTCCCTCTCGTTCTGTCACTAATTACCTGTGAGAAGAGACCAGCACCAACCTCTCTACAGTGTCCTTTCACGAAGTTGTAGAGAGTGGCAAGGCCAGAGGGAGGAGAAGCCACAATCAGCATCACACAAGGCAAAAGACAGCAGATCAGGACAAGAGGCATCATTTAAATTTCAATGGCAAAGCACCTACTGTCATTTAGAAAGCCAACACAGTGTAAATCTCAGTCCTATACACTCGAATCCTCTACAACTTTCTCTGAGGTTATTTAAGCCTAGATCAATTCCTCTTTCTGTTACACAAAAATAAACAACCAAAAAAACCCAAACCAATTAGGAATGGAAGATATTTCCATTCTGCTTCTGGAAAATAAAAAAAAAACAAACAAAAGAATAAGCCAAGTCCTCTACAACTTTCTCTGAGGTTATTTAAGCCTAGATCAATTCCTCTTTCTGTTACACAAAAATAAACAACCAAAAAAACCCAAACCAATTGGGAATGGAAGATGTTTCCATTCTGCTTCTGGAAAATAAAAAAAAAACAAACAAAAGAATAAGCCAAGAAGCTTTGCTTCAGCGGGAAGATATTTCCATTCTGCTTCTGGAAAATAAAAAAAAAAACAAAAGAATAAGTCAAGAAGCTTTGCTTCAGCATCCCCTCAGGACACAGAGCCACTCAGGGATGGCACTAACAGCTCCCTGTGAAGCTGGAAGGCTCCACAGCACTGGGACCACTGGAGAAGGAGAGGGTCAGGCACAGGACCTTCAGGTCACGGCTGACTGGTATCAAAATGCCCCCCTGGAGTTCAGGGCAGACCCCGATTACCTTGTAAACCTTTCGGAAGGTCCATCGTTTTCACCAGCTCCTCCGCGATGTCGAAAGCGTTCAGTCCACTTAATTTCTTCTCCCAGAAGAGCTGACATCAAAGGAAAGTGTTTATTAGCACAAAGCAGAGCAATGGAACTGACAACTACACAAAGCACCTGCTTCTTCTCAGTGCTGACTGTCAGGAGAAGGAAGAATTCAGCTGCCACGTTTGATGGCAGGGAACAACCCTCATCACCAACCAGCTCCACCGCTCCGTCCTGACATGACTGGAGAGAGGTGGGGATTGGTCTCTTCTCCCAAGGAACAGGTGATGGGACAAAAGGAAACGGCCTCAAGTTGCACCAGGGGAGGTTCAGATTGGAGATTAGGAAAAATTTTTACACTGAAAGGGTTATTAAACCTTGGAATGGGCTGCCCAGGGAAGGGGTTGAGACACCATCCCTGGAGGTGTTCAAAAGATGGGTTGATGTAGTGCTTAGAGACATGGGGTAGTGATGGGGGGGGTTCTTTTGTATGGTTTTCTTTCTTCTTTTTTGTTTTTAAACCAGAGTTAGGTTGATGGTTGGACTAGATGATCTTAAAGGTTCCTTCCAACCTAGACGATTCTATGATTCCTTGGAAAAGACTTTCTTTTCTTCCAGGGACTGATATTTTCACTCCTCCTGATTAGATACCAGAAGAACTTGTTTGGTGTGAGGGTGGTGAGAGCCTGGCCCAGGTTGGCCAGAGAAGCTGTGGCTGCCCCATCCCTGGAGGGGTTCAAGGGCAGGTTGGAGGGGGCTTGGAGCAACCTGGTGTGGTGGGAGGTGTCCCTGCCCAGGGCAGGGGGTGGCACTGGGGGGGCTTTAACCTAAACCATTCTACAATTCTATGAAAACGAAATATATAAACCAATATATGTATATATATTATACATACACAATATTTTTTACATCTACATACACACAAATCTCTCTCCAGCCCAGTGTTTTGCACATCAATGTCACACCTTTCATAGAATCATAGAATGGTTTGGGTTGGAAGGGACCTCAAAGATCATCGAGTCCCAACCCCCCTGCCCTGGGCAGGGACACCTCCCACCAGACCAGGTTGCTCCAAGCCCCATCCAGCCTGGCCGTGAACCCCTCCAGGGATGGGGCATCCACGATCTCCTTGGGACCTGTTCCAGTGTCTCACCACCCTCACAGGAAAGAATTTCTCCCTAATATCTAATCTAAATCTCCCCTCTTCCAATTTAAAACCGTTCCCCCTTGTCCTGTCCCTGCACTCCCTGACAAAGAGTCCCTCCCCAGCTCTCCTGTAGCCCCTTCAGATATTGGAAGGCTGCTCGAAGGTCTCCCCGGAGCCTTCTCTTCTCCAGGCTGAACAACCCCAGCTCCCTCAGCCTGTCTTCATAGCAGAGGTGCTCCATCCCTCTGATCATCTTCATGGCCCTCCGCTGGACCCGTTCCAGCAGATCCATGTGCTTCCTGTGTTGAGGACTCCAGAGCTGGACACAGTGCTCCAGGTGGGGTCTTTAGTGTCCTCTTTTATTGTCTGAGCTGGCCAAGGGGATAACAGGAATAGCAACAAAACTGGGAACGCACCTGCTCTGCTTCCTTAGCAAACCATGCAAAAACTCTACCAACCTGGTTAAAAAAACCCATTACCACAAAACCCCAACCACCAAAAAACCAGCCCAACTCCATTTCAAATAGAATCTAACTCTTCAGGAAGGCAGTTTTTAAGTCTGCAGAAAGGTTTTCAGTGTGAGGTGGGTAGTTTATAAAGGTATTTTTAAATTTTATTGAAATCCCTTTCCTTCTTGGAATGATATATTTTAATTCCACCAGCCCTGCAAGAGTTTAAAATGCACTGATAATTGATACTGATGACGGCACCTGAACAGACTAACGAAGCTGAACATCTTGTTTCCAGAAGGCACAAAGATGGACTCGCTGCAGGGGAGCGCTCGCAGCGTCCCCGGGTGAGCTCTGTGGAGGCTGCCAGGGCTGGGGGACGTTAATGACATTCCAAAGGCTGCTTTGAACAGGAACATCTCACTTTACCAGTGCCCAGCTTCAAAGCCATCCTGTCCCAAGCACACCTTTTGCGTCCTTTCACCAGACAAAAACAAGCTGAAAGATCTTCTTTAATTTTGGTGGATTCTCTTGTTTGCAAATGCGCAGTACAGTAAGAAAAACGTGTTGATTTTGTACCAATAATGACATTCCAAGTGAATTTATGACCTTATTCCCCTCCAGGTAGGGTTAACTACGAATGATAAATGCATCTGAAGGTTGTACCATCCCTCGCACCGCATCACAAACACCTCCTTGTACGTGGTCTGTGCCCAGACAGGGATTTCTCAAAACACAGAATTCTTCTACAATTGGAACGTTTGACAGTGACTCTAATTACAATGCAAATGGCCCCTGAAGCGGTGACGGTGTCTGTCAAAATTTGTAGATAATACTTAATTTCAGCATTAAGGAAATGAAGGCTTAACTACAACAGAATTGTAATCCAAACAAAGGCTGGAGCCTGGTTATAAAACACAGTGCAGGCAGCGTATTAAATATATATGGAATATATATATATATATAAAAATATATATTGGAAATGGGCTTTGTTGGGATTTCAAAAGCTGGGAGCACTGAAACTTACCGTTTCTGAAATATCAGAGACTTCAAACTGCCAGGGACTGTTTGTTCAGCATCACAAATTTAAAATTTTGGGACACCCCACCCCAGCCAGCAGCAAACCCAGGAGTTTCTCCCAAGCCCGAAGCCTCACCTGCCGGGGCTGGTCCACGGCTTTCTGAGGGTCACTCTTCACCTTATTGCTGGGGTGGTTTGTGATCTTGGTGACGGGCTGCTTGAATATGGAGGCCGTCTGTCGGACGGGCAGCGCCGTGTTCAGATCGGGCTTGCCCTGCACATTTCAAACAGAAGGAGGGTGGGGAAAAAAACCCCCCCACAAATGTTTTCAATTTGCTAAAATGCTACTACATAGATATGTACAGTGGGGAAAAAGAAGAGCTGGTGGACTCAAAAAATTGTCTGATCTCAAACTACACGAGTTAGAGTGCTAAAAAGGTGTAATTACATCCAAATCTTGCCTTAGACATATTAAAATTAAACTAAGTTTTCTACTCTCACATTTTACTTAACAGACCAGTCTCCTCTCACTCTAGTTTACGCACGAGGGTTTTATCTCAATTTTGACAAGTCAGGAGTCAGAACACTACACGGGCACTTTGACAAGCCACCTGCAGATCACTAAACCAGAGGATTTCGGCACAATGTCTGTAATAATTAAAAAAATCATGAAGCTGGATCTAGAGACTGTTTTATGACTCCAGAAACCGTTCTAAACCATTCCATTTAAATCCAGTTGTGGACATCAATAAGCAAATCAATGCAGCTGGAATCACGATGGCTTTTTTTACCTTTGGTTCTCAGCAAAACTCATTTTTTAAAAGGAGCTCATGGCAATTAAGTTCTCACCACACGACAGCACTTGATGTCAGTGGGAACACAGACCATTCCTCGTCCCTGAGATCCAACGAGTGAGCCTTGAAATGGCTGTAGGACACACTTTGTTCTCCAGGATGTAGACACCGTGGCTCCTTAACATATTTATTCATGAGATGTAGAAAAGATGTATTCAGGACAAATAGAATTCTGAATTATCCGAGTGCTAATCCATTTATAAGCCAATTCATACATTTATTGAAAGGTTTGGGTGGAATTTTCATCTGAGGAGATGGGTGTTAGCCTGGGTCTCTGCAGCAAGGCATCTTTCTTTTAAAATATGACTGTGGCACCTTGTGCTGAGCAAATGTTCCAGTCACTCCAACGATGATGATTCGGGACAGGTTGACATATTTAGAAAATAAGCATTATTTTCCATATTTAATGTTTAGGTGCATAGATATAAGCTTTTGGGTTCTGAAAAAGCTTTTAGCATCTGATCAAGATAGTTAAGAACAACTTGAGCCAATGTATCCACAGGCAGCGTATCAACGTGGCCGTAACTTTCACTAAACCTTAATGATCAAAATTACCAGGTGCTAAAAACAGTCTCTTTTTGTTCTACAAAGAGGCCTTGTCACTCTCTTGTCTCTCCAGCTTTTTGCCCCAAATGTATCTTCTCCTTAGGTCAACCCCAAAGCTGAGACACCAGCACAGCTCCAGCCATCCCTGCTCCTCCCTCTGCCCCCAAAACCGAACCCCGGAGGGGAGCAGAGCCACAGGAGTTGGCTGGAGATGGGGGGCTCTGGAGGAGATTCTGCTGGAGAAGGCAACCTCACAGAGAGAGAAAGATGCCAACTCTCCCTCAGACCCTCCAAGCAGAGACCCAGCAGCACCACAACATTCAGCCATGGTACTGGCACTCTGGAAGAATCCAGGAATGGCAGCATTTGTCCAACACCCCGTAACGGAGATGCCGTTATCTCACACAACTCCAGCTTCACAAATTCATTACAAAACGCCTAATTTTGACGCTAGCACAGACATTGCTCAGAGATGGGTCTGGCCAGCAGAGCAGCAGAGGGAAAGGGGGAAGCTGCTGCTGCCTCTCAGCCTTACTTTGGCTTGGTTGGAACAGTCGTAGCGCATCCTCTGCCTGTTCTTGTTCATCTTATTCATCAGCATTTTCCCCGTGCGGAAGTCAAAAGTGCTGAGGTCCATGGAGCTCCCCAGGTAGCGGGCCAGCTGGGGCTTGCTTCGGAACTTCTTACCACTTGGGCTGAGACAACAACAACAACAACAAAAAAACCACAGAAAAGAAACAAGGAGGAAAAATTAAAACCCTCTGGACTTCGATACCAGCGCTCCCTGCAACTCAGGTTTTATTTCCGTCATGAAAAACAACACGAGCTGAACTTCCAGGAATGAAGCTCACACTGAAGTCTAACTGGATATTATTGCTTTGGTATCAACCCCTCCTCGTGATTACTGGGGAAGAGACAAATTAAGTGCAGAGCATGTTAAAATGTTTTTAGAGGTAAAGAGGAAGATTCAGACCAGGTATAAGTGAACAGAGCACAGTTCACACCATGGGAGATATCAGCGCTGACGGACTTATCCCTCAGTTGTCTCTAATAATAAATGCTCATTTTCAAGCATGATTTCTTCTCCCAGGAGTGTGATGTTTCACCAAACACCCTCCTCGGGCTCCTTCCCCCCCCTCCTTGGAAAGCACATTCAGGTTTCACTACAAGCTTTCGGCAGTTCTGAGCACTTAACTTCAGGGTTAGACAACAGCAAGGGGGAAGAACAGAAGGTAACTGCCGAGGAGCTGCAAAATAAAGAATTACAAAGCTTAAACCATGCAAAGATAAAGGTCAAAACTTTGGAAAACTTTCCTTTAATGGCAAAACAGAAGAGAGATTCTTTAAAAACACCTGGTTTCACATGAAAGACTAAAACCTGGCGAGCAGCACAGGTTACCCCAACTCCTCCTTGTTGGTGGTGGTTCTTTAAATAATAGCTTTAATGTTTTTAGGCATAAGGCAAAAATAAGTCAATGTGTTCTGAGTGCCGTGTAGAGCTTCACAGACAATAACCACAAAGTATTTTTTCACGTTCTCATTTAGCATTATAACAATGCCTCTTTATTCCCTTAATTTCTCTCATTTTGGTTTTCTGCATATTCCCTCTTAGTACCCATCTGGTAGAAGCTCACTCTGCAGACACCTATCATGCTAAACAGGGGCTGGTTGGGTGAAAGCATCAAAAAATGCCAGTTACCACCTCTATTTATCCATAGGGTAGGTTTAGACTGAACATTAGGAAAGAATTCTTCACAGAAAGAGTGGTCGGGCATTGGAACAGGCTGCCCAGGGAGGTGGTTGAGTCCCCATCCTTGGATGAGTTTAAGAGTCGTTTAGATGTGGTGCTGGGGGACATGGTGTAGGGGAAAACTTTGTAGAGTGGGGTTGATGGCTGGACTCTATGATCCCAAGGGTCTTTTCCAACCTAAATGATTCTATGATTTTCTCCTTTTTAAGAGCTGTTAGTAGTGGTAGAACCTTTTTTCAGTGATATTGCACAGAAGCACGGTTATCTCCTCCTCAGCCTGCAAATCCCCTCCGCTCTCCATGCAGATGCAGTGTTGGGTTTATGAGTTATCTCCTCCTCAGCCTGCAAATCCCCTCTGCTCTCCATGTAGATGCAGTGTTGGGTTTACGGTTGGACTCGATCTCAAGGGTCTTTTCCAACCAAAATAATTCCACTTAAGGTCACATCCCAGCAGCCCTCACTAACTGGTTGCCCGTCACAGGCAGCGGTGGCACCCAAGAGTCCAACGACTCAATTCAAAGCAGCTTCACAACATCCAAGTGTTGAACTTGAGATGACCAGAGGCAGCACCTGTGTTAGAGACCCTGGGCTTTCTTACTGAGGAGAGAAGTGGAGTCAACATGACTCAAACCTGCCAGAGATAAATCAACCCTAAGAAGGTTCAAACACTTTCTGAGGACAGTTGGGGCTCTGTGATTAAAGTCACCTTCTGTTATTCCTAAAGCCAGAAACACACGCTACTTGTAGCAAAGTTTCTACTTGAAGGCCAAGAATAACTTGAAATAATAAAGTTGTCACAGGATGAAAGGAAAGAAGTATTACTAACTACTGCAGTTTAAATATTTCAGCATAGACCCTGCTGGTGTCACACTGGGAAGATACTAACAACCTCTCTGGGGTCTCCTCAAAGAAAAAAAAGCCTCTTTTCATCACATTATCTGCTTCCCTGAAGCCTTTATTAGGGAAAAGGTCTGAAAAAATAGGATAAGCATAAAATTTCACTCTGAGGGTGGTGAGAGCCTGGCCCAGGTTGGGCAGAGAAGCTGTGGCTGCCCCATCCCTGGAGGGGTTCAAGGGCAGGTTGGAGGGGGCTTGGAGCAACCTGGTGTGGTGGGAGGTGTCCCTGGCCAGGGCAGGGGGTGGCACTGGGGGGGCTTTGAGGTCCCTTCCAACCCAAACCAGTCCGTGATTCTATAATTCTGTGATTTCTAGTATGGGACAGTGGCAAACCAATTAGTTTGTCGGACCGTGTATGCAAAAAAAAATAGATTAAAAAAATGCCAAACAGAAAGAACTGAAGTATAAAAAGCTCTCTAAGAACTGAGACACACGTTTAACATGAATTACACTAAAACCGAAACCTGTAAAAAGGCTCTCAGAGGACTCAAAGGTTGTGGTCACCCCCCACAGCATCTGCTTAGGAAGCTCCTGGCCCCACCTGCTCCCAAGCTGCTTATCCTGCCCCGTATCTGCTCCCCACACACCACTGCCTGGGCAGGAAAGTGTTCGTGTAAATGGCCAGTTACCAGATGGGGGAAATAATCCATCTTTGGAGGGGAGGGAGAAGAGGAGGAAACACTTCACCACTGGTTATTCCTCAGCTGGACCAGTTCACTCCAGAGCTGCACAAACACTCAGGCCAGAAGATGACACAGAGAGGAGGAATAATCAGGCAGGAGCAGAGACTAGGTCCAGACTCAAATTAGAAACCACTTTTTAGAAGTTTAAAGGGAGTCATACCCCCCTCAATCCAGAGAGAGGAATAACCAGCTCCAGCAGCTTCCAGGCCAGAGCCATCACTGCTGTCTGTGAAGCCAAGAAGAGAAACTTCTACTGTATGAAGAACATGACACTGATTCCTCTTCCAAGCTCCACAGCTCCAATTTACAGCTTAGAGTCTTAATAATTTAAAAAATAATATATTACAGTGAATTGTGCACTTAGAAGCAGAGCGTAACTTCCAGAACAACAGAGAGAGATACACTTGGAGACAGTATTTTAAATTAACATGGCCCTTCAATCTTTTTTTGTTTAGTATCTGTTGGAGTAATATTACAATGGATCTGAAAAACGGTTCAAAGTCCACATACAACTTAAAAAAAACCCACCTGAAATGACTCAGGGTCCTGTCTCTTCCCGGGGAAGCTTGGCCCAAAGGAAAGGCACTGAAATGTTCAGAAGAAAAAAAACTTTTATTCTGATTATGTCTTGAAAAAGGCAATACCGTAGCGAGGCTCTGCGGGGAAAGGGCAGAGGGGGGACAAAGCTACAGCTCAAAGGGGACAGAAAACACAGAGAGGGGGTGCTGGGGTGCTCTGGGGTCCCTCTGGGAGGAGCACACTTGGTAGGACGCAGCCATGGAGGGCACCTACAGACACCTGAGAGGGCCAAAGTGGGGGGAAACAAACAAATAAAATGGAGGGCACCTACAGACACCTGAGAGGGCTGAAGGGAGGGGAAACAAACAAATAAAATAAAAAAGAAAGGGAAAGAAAATAAAATAGCAGCCAAAACAACTAGGAAATTAAAAAAAAAAAGGAAAGAAAAAAAATAGCAGCCAAAACAACTACAAAACTCCAGCAGCAGGACTGTCTGCGGCACGTCACAAGGCACAGGGGCAGTGAAGCAGCATCTGTGAGCTCTGAGCGCCTCTAAACACTTGCGTACCCCTTAAACGCCATGAAATGTATCCCCTTCCACTCCAGAGGCTGAGCTTTGCTCTGCGCTCCTGTTTTCCACACACAAAGACTCTGGAGAGACCCAGAAAAGAGACATCTTGGTCCAAAAGCCGCAAAACCCCATCTCTTCTAAATAAACCCCAACACCGTGAGCGCTGGGCTCCCCAGTTAAAGCCTTTCCCACTCCGGGTTATGAAAAACGAGGCAACCACAAAGTTGCAAACCCTTCTACGTGCCCGTCCACCAAAAGCTCCGGGGCATTATCTGCCTGGCCCCGGCACCCACAAACCCAGCCGGGAGCAGACAGAGGGTGCTGGGACCAAACCCGAGCCTCCCCGGCTCGTTATTCCGAATTTTGGGGGCTGAAGCCCAACGCTGGCAGCCAAATCGAAGGGCCAAGGCTGCCAGGTGCCCGCTGCTCTCCATGTGCAGCCACCCTTTGTTTCCTGCCTTATATTCTTAAGGAGAGAGCGGCTGCAGGGCCGGGCCCTCCTCCCTCATTACCCGAGTCTCCTCCCCTCCGCTCTCCCCATGAAGCCTCTGCACAACTTGGAGAGCAAAGGGACAAAAGACCCAAAAAAAACCAAACCAACCCCACAAACCAACCCTGAGCGAACCCAGGCGTCGCCTGCACTTTAAAGCAAAGGAGATAGGAATAATCTGGGTTAAAAGGGCAATCGATGGCATATACCCAAAGCCTCATTTCCTCGGTGGGGGGGGAAAGGGGGGATAATGCAAAAATGTTTTTCCTTCTCGGCTGCAATGGTGCTCCCTCCTGCGCGGGGCTGGGGAGTCACAGCCCACCCCGGCTCCACTTCTCTCCCCAGCTCTGCTCCAGGTCGGGGTCCTTGGGGGGCTGCACCCCCTCCACCCCCGACACCACTTCCTAGCGAGAGATGTGTGCCCCAGGACACCTCCCTGGCTGCCACCACGAGTCCCCATCTCTCCAGCATCTTCACGTTATCCCTGGTCTGTGGTCCCACGCTCCCACAGCCCCCCCCCCCCCCCGACACCACTTCCTAGCCAGAGATGCGTGCCCCAGGACACCTCCCTGGCTGCCACCACGAGTCCCCATCTCTCCAGCATCTTCACGTTATCCCTGGTCGGTGGTCCCATGCTCCCACAGCTCGGTTGCCCCGGGACAGGCCAGCACGGAGACACCGGTGGCTCTCATCGGTGTGAAAAACCAAGAGAAGCTCCTCCAGCTCCCACAGCCCACCCCACATCCCCACCCCTCCATGTGGTGGCATCTCCTCATCCCACCAGCCCTGGGGGACCGAGCTGGGCCAAGCAACACTTCTGTGCCAGGGGCAGGCTGTAAGGGATGCTCCCAGCCCCGCAGGGCAACTGGCTTCTCTTCGTTCAGTAACTTGGGCTCCAACCACAAAAAAAACCCCTCAAAACCCCCCAACTTTGATACATCCAAAATCTCTCCCAGTTTCCAGCAGCACCTCAGCACCAAACAAGAACCCCAGCGCAGTCCTGGAACACAGGGAGGAGCCCAAACAGAACCAGTCATTTTAATAAGACTCATCTCAAGCATCACAAGAGCTTCCCTGAGGAGCTGCAGGTAAAATAGAACAACCAGAAAGAGCAAAGTATGTTCTCAGTAAAAGCATTCTCCCCCACATTTTTTTGGGGGAGGGGAAAAAAAAGTAAACAGACCAAAATATACGTGGAGGGGGCGTTAAAAACCTTTTCTTCCACTTTTTACAGAGGTGCTGCATAGGTAAGAAATTCACAGCAAAATCAGCTTCACCCAAGAGATCTGTTAAGTTTTCCAGATGGCGATGCCCGCAACTCCTTGAAGCAGAGACAAACAGCGGTCCCAAACTTCTCAGACACTTGGTCATCAGCAGAAAAATGCCGTGAAGCAAAGCCACACAAAGCTGCACTGAATTCTCCTTCCCCCAGGTGAGACCACTGAGTTTGAACAGAGCCTTTGTAGCCAAAACTCTCTCAAAGACAACCCGCCACTTTCACAAAATCCCTGATACGCCTTCCTGGACCCTTCTCCAATCCTTCCCAAAAGCCCATGTCCCTGCACGCCTCCTGCTTGCTCTGAATTTGGCTGATGAGCCCCACCACGGCGCCCAGAGACCCTCTTGGGTTTCCCAACTCTCAAGCCACAGGCAGACGAGAGAGAACAGTCTTCAGTTAAAAACCATTCTGCACAATCAACAGCTGGTAAAAGCATGAGGTTTCAGAGTGTTTGTATAAATTTGCTCAGTGAATTACACCTCGAGGAGGGTTTAATTTCCAGCAACTGGGCTGTGAGATCCACATCTCACGGGCTGAACACACTCGGGCACAACCCATTTGTCTCGTCGCCCGAAGCAGAGCTCCCATTCCACAGAAACCTTGGTGCTGCTGGCGCTCGGGGCGACAAGAGGAAAACTCCAAAAAGAAAGCTCAGTAGCCCTAAAAAATGGTTGGGAAAAGCAGTCACTGCCCCCCCATACCGCTGATCGCCCGGGCTCAGCGTTAATTCTCAAGGCTGGTGATTGCACGTGAGGGTGCTCACTCCCAAACCCTGCACGCAATTTGCCACAAACACCTACAGCATCCGCACGCTCAGGGGTGGGCCAACAAAAAAATCATCCGGGTGAACACCAGGCAGAAATAGCCGAGGTATTAATAAATCACCACACACGTATTTTCTACTCCGAGGTAAAGCAAAATGCAACAGGAACCAAAAATTAAGGCAGCAGGGCCCCATTATACCTTTGATCTCTGTCCAAACTGATAGAAAGGGAAAAATCCATTATAACTCGGGCATAAAAATTTGCTCCTTAATTCTCTCTCCTCCCCTCTTTTTTTTAACTTCGGCTCCGAGACCGCAACTTTACAAATAAAATAAGTTCTTGGAAAAAAACTGGGAGCCTTTCAGCCTCTCCAGCTGCTGCCGGTGGGCTTTTTCTCCACTCCCAGCCGCGGCGGCGGAGCCGGCACTTCCAGCTTTTGGGCTTCTCAGGGCCGGTGGTATCGGCTGGTTCAACTCAGGGGAGCAGAGCAGGCTTTTCTCACAGCCTTAATCTGATTTGGTTTTGTTTTTTTTCTTTTAAATAAATAAATAAGTTAATAAAATGAAAGCTAACACGTGCGGAAGCCCATCGCGGATGTTTCACCGAGGAGAAAGGCCGGGTGAGGACACCTGGGGCTCCGCTCGTAGGTGGGACCCCCGTCCCCCGAGGGACCCACGTCCCGCAGCCCGGGGGCTGCCGTGGTGGGGGCAGGAAGGATCCATCTGGCCCACCTACAGCCCTGCGAGACACACCGCGGTATTAATAGCCCTCCTGCGGGAGCAAGCAGCTCCCCAGCCATCTGCTCACCCCCCCAAAGGAGGGGGTAATGCCCCCCCCGGGCTCTGCCCCACAGCACCCCCCC